AGCCTGGACCCCACCCAGCAGGAACCCACACCTGGCACCCAGCAAACTGGCTAGCTGATACCGTCAAATCCTGTTTATTTTTGTTTCATCTAGCCCTGCCTTTACTGCCTCCTATCCTTGTTATTTTCCCTCGCTACTCTTCCAAACTGACTGCCCTGCTGTCATTGTCCTTTTACTTTTTCATGTTCCTTTTTATTTTCTCTTTACTTCCATGTAAGATACACTGAAAGACATCCAAGTGTGAGTGTGAGCGGGTAGTGACGTCTGTGTGCGACTGATAGATGACTGATACCGCTGTGTTTACTGGCTAAAGATGGGAGCGAGCAGCAGAAGCTGCATCTTGTTTGTTTGGGGAGCTTTAGTATGGGCATCAGGATCTCAGTTTGGAAGTGTGTGTGTGTGTGTGTGTGTGCGCGCGTGTGTGCGCATGCGCGCGTGTGTGTGTATATACATATATATATATTTCCTTTTGTTTGGCACAGGGGCAGATGTCAGCTTTTTAGAGCGTTTTACATCAGATTTGTATCATTCACTGTATGTCCTTATTCTAAATTATATTGTCAATATGCTTGTGATTTACTGAATATAGTAATCCAGAGGCCAAGCTCAGTTTTGTTAACACTTTGATTGTTGAACCATGGGAGGAAGCTGTACTAAAGAACCACACAGCAAAGGCCAGAGTGTGATGTGGAACTGCATGTGTGACGCAGGGCTCCCAAAGGCAAACCTCGCTGAGCTCCATTTTTATTCATCAAGGTGCACTGAACACAGACATTTACACATGCTGAAAAGCTCAGGTGCAGCGTACAAGCACTGGATGGCATGTAGATGATGCATTCAAGACATCTTGAAACTTGAGAGTGAAAGGAAGACATGTTGCTTCCGTTTAAAATGTAATGTTGAACGTTGGCACTGTATTTGTGGTGTGCCCTCCATGTCAGCCTCAGATGATGGGTCAAAACACTCGGGTCAAAGTTTACAGTTACAAGTTGTCATGAATGTGACCATACTGAAAGACGATGTAGGGGAGTGTATGGGACCTAAAAGCTACATTTCTGTCAGTAGGGACCAGTCTTTGTGTCCTGTATGCCGTTAGTAGACTAAATTTATGGTTAAAAAAAAAGTACTGGGAGCAGGTCTTGGCACTGGGAACAAATAGTGTTATGAATCATGTTCAGACTTGGGAAAAACCTTCTATACTCATAAGTCAAAGTACTTTTATTTGAAAAAATGTCCTTGGCCCTGTGTAGTGCTTTCCCAGGGTCATTACTGACTGGATGAAATTTACCTGCGATGTGGTAAATCTAAGCTAGCACAACATCTGTCTGAGCTGTGCATGTATATGGCTGCCCTGCTGTCACTTTGTGCCATTTTGTTTTGTAAATAAAATAGTTTTGCACAAATGTTTGGTTGCCGCATCATGTGTGTGTTATTTTGTCTTTTTGATGTTTATGACATATGTTTAAGGTGCATTTAGTTGTGTAAACAATGCATACATTTGACCTTAAAAATAATTTTTATTCCATTATGTGGTTAATTAACCAGTATCAGGGCCACCAATAATGCACTACTGTAGCTATCAACAGAAGGGTGCATAAAAACTCCAATCAGAGGGAATCCAGCAGCGCAGCCAGTGACACAGACTTGAGCACTTATAAATTTAGATCAGAATGAAATGTTAGAAATTACTGTTGAATCTCTTTTGACAGGCTCATCAAAAATGTAACATAATCTTTTTTTTCCAAGGACATTTTAGTTGCATCATACTGCAAGATGTTCCTACATATTACATTCACTTTTTACTTTTCCAAAAGAAATAACTTCTTCTGTGATTCATGCCGTAGTTAGGGCTACCCTTGCTTAAATGATTGTAAAAAACTTTGCCAAGTGAAAGGTGGTGATTTTTTTTTCCACATTCTTTTTTTATTTTTAAATCATACACATATGAATAAAGAACATAAATTCCTTGTACACAAAATACTGCTATCGCAGCATTTTCACATATTCAATAAAACTGCAAAATGGACAAAAACATTCATATGTGTGGGATATTATATTCTTACAATATATTATTAATTACTTACATGACGTACCTAAATTAAATAAAAATTAATTGATGATTCTGAAGGCTTTTCATAATCATTTATTTTATAGAGGGTGGAGTCTGCAGCTGTGAAAAACAGCCACATAAAACACAGTGTAGGTACAATTTACATTATTCATTCATTTATGCAAACCTTTATTTAAGACTCGGGAAATCAGCTGAGGGAGACCCTCATTTTCAATGGTTCTGTGCAAAACAAGACATAAAAACAATCATGAGGCAAACCTAAAATAAGTTAAAATAAACAGATAATCAATATGCAAACCAGTTGAAATAGAAATAAAATCTTACAAAACAACCAACAACCATATAATAGGTAAAGGTTAAATGTAGGATAATAACACTGACAGTGTCCAAATGTACGGTATTTTGCAGTTTATTCTATGTGTTAGATGCACTACAGGAAAATGACTGTTCCTAGTTCAGTTCTGATGAAGGAAATGTGGAGCAACAACCTATTCTGTGTGCAAGTAACATGTTATGTGAGGTCAGAGTTTAAGGGTGGAATTATCTATATCAAAGCTTTAAAGATGAATAAAATGCTGATCCCACTTCACAGCTAAATGTGACCAGCTGACCTTTAGGTAAAGATGCCAGTGGTGAGTGCTGTAAGGATCACCTCTTATGAACCTTGGGGCTGAGTGGTAGAAAGCATTGTGTGATTTCAATTGAAAGGTGGCAACTTTTCCTTATATGACATCCCCATAATCCAAAACAGTTTAAAATATTGATTCTACAATTATATTTCTATGTAGAAAATGGAAACAAATCTTATTTCTGCACAGAAAGCCAAGCATTGTTCTCAGTTTGGTAATCAGAGTGTCAATATGATGCTTAAACACACTGATATCTGGCTGGACAATAAGTGTTGTGAGAGTATATGTTGTTTTGCCATTTGGAATGAAAATTAAAACACTCAGTGTGTGTAGCCTTGGTGAACAGCATCCATTTGGTTTTGTCTGAGTTGCGCACTAACTTATGGTTATGTAGTTGAAGTTATCACTATGTGATACATATTAAAGCCATGTTGCTAAATAGTCCAGTAAATCTAACACAAAAATGGGCCCAAGCTGGGGGAATTTGCAATAGTAATGTTTCATAGTTTTTATTGGTCCTTATACTCTCCTGCATCATATATTAAAAGTATACCGTCATAGATTTATTGGAACATGTTCTTTTTCAAGGTCAAAAGCAAAGTTTCAACATTTTACAGTTACATGGTCTGGGTAAAATTATGTTAATATTGGAGGGTCTATGTGTGTACACATCTTCAGTATATCTGGTGTCTTTTCCAAAGTTTTTGGGGCCAATCTTTTCATTAAATCCTGTTTAAAGAGAACATTCTGATGTATTGTACCTGTGTTTGGGGTACTACGACCCAACAACCATTTTTTGGCCAAATTTTTCACTTGCAGTTTGTGCCACACTCTCCTATTGGTGTCACTGCATCTCAACTGGCTATAAATTCTTCCGTCTATATTTAGTATCTATAACGGCACCATTCATGGTAAGTTTGCGAGTTACGTAGGGGACTGTAGTGCAGGGGAGGTGAAGGGTTAGGTTGACATGGAGGTACTGTGTGTGTGAGCTGACTGGTTCTACCAGCAACTTTTCTACACTATTCTGTTAACCTATTCTATTAGCATTTTTACTCTTGTTGTCATCATCTTATTTTTTCATTCACTTAAAACAATTTATTTCAATCTAAATAAATGGCAAAAGCAATATGAAATGCTGTGCCTCATGATGATGTGCCAGAAAAAGACATCCTATACATCTTTGATGGGATGGGACAGGAAACGCATACAGGGCAATAGTGGAAACATCTATTTGGTAGGGTCAAAAACATTATGGGGAATAGGTTGTAATCTTGGTACTACGTAAAGTGGCAAATTCTAGTTTGGTATTGTAAAAAACTCTTCATCTCTAGATGATATTTCAACATAATAACCCTTCCCAAGTGGCAGCTTCGTCACATATATCAACCTTCAATGGCACCAACAGTTAAACTAAAGACAGAAAAAGCCATGGCATGTTTAAAGTTTGGTCTCATTTAAGGTCTCAGTCTCAGTGTTGATATGCATCATGGTTTTCATGGACCAACAAATTTGTATATGCATAAAATTAAATGATAATATGCTTTATAGCCTAATTTTGCTGACTTTGTTTGGATTAAAAAAAGGTCATTTTGGGGTAAAGGTAACCCCTACTTGCAGAACAGGTCATATCTGATGGTTATATGTATAAAAACAGAAAAAAGAAACATCCTAAAAAAATAATATTTAGATATAGATTATATATAAATATCATGTTCAGGAGCAGAGATATGCACTTCTTTGTGTGAAGCTGTGACACGATGGCCCCAAATTTAAAACCTGACTTTACCTTGATCCTTTAAGTATACACCAATCAGCCAAAACATTAAAACCACTGACAGGTGAAGTGAATAACTTTGATTATTTTGTTCCAATGCATTGCTCTGTTGGGAAACCTTTGGTTCTGGCATTCATGTGGATACCACCTGACATGTTCCACCCACTCAAACACCGTTGCAGACCATGTACCCCCTCTCATGGCAGCAGTACTCCCCAGTGGCAGTGCCCCCCCCCCAGCAGAACAATGCATTGGAACAAAATAATCAAAGTTATTCACTTCACCTGTCAGTGGTTTTAATGTTTTGGCTGATCGGTGTATAATGGTATACTTTTAATATGTTATCTGGTTGTCCCAAGAGATCACAAAAAAACTTTGAATGATTAATATTGCAGTTTTCCCCAGGTCAAACCACACATTGACTGGACTATTTTTCTAGGAACTACATGATTTGGCGTAGGAACATGTTTTGTTGGTGTATTACCACCTCGCGAGCACTAGGGGGCGCAGTTTCCCACGCGGCAGCAGCCCTCTCCGTTTGGCTGAATCATTTCATCCATCGTACCCAGAATGCAAAGTGAGACACCGAAACCTCAGCAGCAGCCTCAAGCTCTCCAGGTTATCATGGCGATAAGAGGCACATCTTCCCCTTGAGTCTCCTGGAGCAGCAACAAAGGATTTCTCCCTCCGCTACATGAACACTTACACACACACACACACACACACACACACACACCCTCCCATGCAGCAGCGCCGAGACCTGCCGGAGTTTTAGCCCTCACTGGAGAAAGGACATAGCGTGTGACCGTCATGGCAGCGTCGGAGCTGTACACAAAGGTAAAACAAGTGTATATTTATATGTGTATAGCTAGGTGCTAGCATGTTAGCTGAATAAATGTTACAGTCGCAGAGGTTAGCTTAATGCTAAATGGCTCCAGATTTTAAAGATGCTCTCCGGATAAACATGCTGACAGTTTGATTTTCGTCACGATAAACCGTGGCTTTTTTAATATCAGGCTGGTTTGTGGGTTTAAATGAATGAAAATTATATTCAAAATCACATAAAATAGGCTGTTCTGACACGCAGTGTTTTTAGTTGTTTAAATATAGATGTCATTTCAGGCTGTAATGGGTGCAGCTGACAGAAAGCAACGTTAACGGATGCGGCAGCCTGTGTCCCTGCTGTCCTTTACATCGAAGACAAAATTAGCTTTATCAATATTATTTTGTCATGTATCACCTTGTCTGTCCACCCTAAACAAGATATGTTGTCCTCCCGGGCCTTTATATTGTACACCATCATCCCCCACTAGAGGCTAGGGGGCTGGGATGATGCAAAGGCGGTGCCAGCCATCATGGAGGCTCTGGTTTTCATTTTAAACCATTTGGCGCTAGCTCAAACCTGTACATGGTCTCATGTTAGTGTTTAATTTATTTTATGTTTTAATATTGGCTGTTTGTCAAGCCTGTGACCCGGCTCTCTTGTGTGCGAGCCGAGTACTGCAGGTTGGGTACCAGTACTGCTGCGATGCTCGCCGCATCCGGACAGTGTAGCACCCTGTAGCACCCTGTAGCATCCTTTAGCATCCAGGGTGTTTAGACTAGCAGAGGCCCTGCAGCCTCTCTGTAGCTCTGTAGCCTCAGATGCTCAGTGAGGAGAACATGACACTGCTGCTGATGAGGAGGACTCACAAGGTCACAAGTGCTGCTGCTGCATTTCTGTGATTGCAAATGTTAAATAAGATAGGAAATTGTGTGTGTGTGTGTGTGTGTGTGTGTGTGTGAGGGAGAAGGAGATGAGTCACCCATCCCCCTACTTTGACAGCTGGTGTGTTCAGCTTGAATAAGGTTGTGGTGGTGATGAGGAAACGTGACTGTGTGTGTGTGTGTGTGTGTGTGTGTGTGTTGTGACGACAATCGCTATTGAAATGCCTTTTTATATCTCCACTTAACAGCAGCACTGTAGTGTACTTGTAATTTGAACCTCTTTACTTTCAGTCGGACCTCTGGTGTTGATAGGAGTGTGTTCAGGCCTCTGTTGTCTTAAGTGTGTGAGACAAGCTTAGACAAGTGGTCAAAGACAATGTGTTTGAACCAGATGACACAGATTTGAACCCTGTGTCAGCAAATGGACTCTCTGCTGAAATGTTTGAGTCCCTGCCAGCTCCTTGGGGTGCTGATCCTGACCTCTGATATTAAAGGAGAGAGGCAAATATTTAGTGCTTAAATAATCTGATAAATCTATTTTTTGATCGACAGAAAATTGACCAGAAACAAGCCATGTTTAAAAGCAAAGCAAATATTCACTGGTTCCAGTCTGCTCTGGTTCCCTAAATGTGAATATTTGCTGATTTTCTCATCTTAATCAGTGATAATTCTTCTGATCTTAATAAGTAATTTAAAGGCATACTATGAAAGGATTTTCTTAAAAAAAAACAATGAATGGACTCATACAAATCAAGTATAATCCCCCTCCTCACTGTTTATCACCCATAGAGCTGCAACAATTAATGGATTAATTACCTCCGCCAAGGAGGTTATGTTTTCGCCAGCGTTGGTCTGTTTGTCTGTTTGTTTGTCTGCAAAATAACTCAAAAAGTGGGAAAAAAGTGGGAAATCCGAGCTGCTTGGCGGAGGTCTGCGCTCTGAGTGCTTTTCTAGTTGATTAGTTATCAACTATTACATTAATCCCCAACTAATTTGATAGTTAATCAATTGGTTTGAGTATTTTTTAAGAAAAAAAGATAAAAATTCTCAAATCCCAGTTTCTTAAATGTGAATATTTTCTGGTTTATGCATTCCTTTTTGACAATAAACTGCATACTTTTGGGTTGTGGACAAAACAAGACATTTGAGGACGTCATATTTGGCTTTGGGAAACACTGATTAACATTTTTCACCATTTTCTGACATTTTATATACTAAACAACTAATTGATTCATAGATAAAATATTCAAGAGATTGTTTTGCGATAAAAAGAAGCGTTAGTTGCAGCCCTGCTGATCCACTAGAAGTACGTGATGGTGTATTTATCTGCATAGACCCTGCCCTCTGCCTGTATTTCGTTCTTTTCGTCTTACTTTCCTGTTTTCAGGACATTCCTGGTCACACCATGCAGGTGAGGTCGGCACTTTATAAAAAGGTAGGGACCATGTGCCAGACCATGAGAAGCACGCAGCCAAGAGGAAGCTACAAAAATTGAAAACACAGCACCGATAAAATGCAAACATTGCGAGCCAAAACACTAGTCTGGTGTTGGCTTTAATTTTGACATTCAATGTCAATAATACTGTGTCCAAACAGTAACCAACAGTATGCTTTTAAATTATCTTTGAAGTTGGATTGTTGGTCTGACCAAATTTGATTTTTTTTTTAGGAAAAAAAAAAAAAAAATTTGTGTTTTACAATTTTCTGACATGTCATAGATCAAACATGTGAACCCCTGGAAGACTAGCTGTGCTTTAGGGCACTGCTAATGGGGATCCTGACAAAAATTTGCCTTTTTTATGTTGAGTGTCCTGCCAGATGCCTTCTAATTTTCAGGATCTCCTCCCAGCAAACAAGTTAGATTTTTGCTACAGTTAATAATGTGTCTTCGTAGTAGTGATAGTGGTATCAGTGAAAACAGTCTAAAACATGTTGGTCTAGCATGCAGTTTTATGTCAGATTGTATGGTAAATTTAGGACAAATAAGGGTTGCTCCCTGCTTTCACTCTCTTTCAGCAAAAGTGATTAATATGTGATGGGTCTGGTTAAATAGCACCTAGGTGAGAAATTACAACCAGTCTAACAAAATACAAGTAGCTTCTGATCTAAACAGCTCAATTTGTTTCCTTTCTCAGCAGGATTTGGCTTGTAGCTAGTATCCATCAATTTGGCTGTCTTGGTTCATAAGAATCTTCTTGGTTGTTAAATGGTTTTAATTGCAAAGGAGTAAGGTGAAACTTGTCAGCGTGGCCAGGAAAACACAAAATTAGTTTCTGCTTTGAATAGTACAGTCTGTTTTAGAAGTCTGCTGCTGATGTCAGACCCCTCTCTGTGATTTACTTTTCCAACACAGGGGTGGAAAACACTCTGTTCTTTGTGCGTATGAGTCAGCCTTATAGAAGCCTATTGAGCAGGTTGGATCTGCTTGGTTAACATGCACACATACACACTAATACGCATACACACACATTTACAAATACACACTCCGCATCAGATTCTGTTCCAATCCACATTTGGCTCCTGACTGACCTGACTGCCAGTAGAGGTGATTCAGAGGTGAAGGCGGACTTTATTGGTTTTAGAGGGAAGAAGGTGCAATTGTAAGCATTAATTGCATTTATTTAAATTAGACTTAATTCAGTCTATTTTATCTGCGTGAGCCACGTAAAGTAAGTAAAACAAATCAGGATGAAAGCCACCAAGAGGTGGTGGATGTGAATGAAACGGTGCTGTGTGACTACAGGCAGAGGTGGAAGAGAGGGAGGATATTCTCATGGAAATGAAAGTGAGGCGACACTCCATTACATGACTCAGAGATGGAAAGGCTATTCAACGCACACCCTAGAGTTTCAAAAATACATACTGCATTTGCAGTAGTGTTGTGCTGTAACACACCTAGTGCATGTGCCTTATTTTTAGCATTACTAGATTCAGCATTGATTTATGATACTAAATTGAGAAGAAAGCTATTGTCTCTGCAGATTTTCTTTTTCACAACAAGCTTAATGTGTAGAAGATACAGAGCTGTAGAAGGACGCATTGCCTGGGATGGCAGTTCAGACGGCCTTGATTTGTCTGTATCAGTGAGTTTACTGTAGCTAGGCCTGTGGCTGGCTGTCAATGAGCAGCAAGAGCTACAGTGAGTGCAGTGCAGTAATAAACAATGCTCACCACATTCAGGATTATGGTTTTGTTTTGTTGCCCTCTGGTCAGCCACGGTAAGACACAGGACACACAAGAAGTAGTCTGTTTATGGAAAACTGAGCCTTCCTGATCTTTTATTTAAAAGTTGACCCTATCTGTGTCGTTATCTGGGTTTTTCAAAAGACATGCCTACTCAGCTCATAAAGTGGCGGACGGTTAAAGCACTGGTAATAATAATGACTGAAAGGGCTAGTTTGGATTTTTTAAAGTGGGGTTGTATGAAGTGCTTATCCATAGTCAGTGCATCAACATGCTCCCATTTTAGAGAAGCAGGCAGGTATACTGACAGGGAAGTTAAGCAGTGTACTGCTGTGAAGCGGGGCAACAGCAAAGCATATTCTAGCCACATTTAAAGGACTACTTAATGAATAAATACCACTAAAAGTGGACACTATATTTAGAATATCCCCACTGCTTTACCTCGATGTCAGACAGCCCTCTCAGATGTGAAATGAAGCTGTCATATCGCTCTCTTCAAAGCCACCGGACTCTTCAGACAAATACAGTTATTTTACGTAGCAGAACATGGGAGTTGCTTATCTACCACTGTCTCACTTGTTTAGCTGGTTTGTGTTATTGTGTCACTCTCCGACCCAAACTAACATGTTGTCCACAGCAGCACATTGCTTAGCTCCATGCTAGTTAGGAACACTACTGGGAAACTACAGAATGATATAAAAACCTTAAAAAAGAAACAAAAAAATGATAGACCCACCCTTTAAAAGAGAGTGCCAGAAAGCTTTTATATTATTCGCCTATTACTTGAGGAGACACTGGAGAAAGTAGGAGTGGGAACTATAGGTTAAGTCAACATACATTAATACTATAATGATTTATTGCCCATGAGCATGACTCTATCATAGCACATGTACTTCTAAATGATGTGATTATATTTGAAGAGAATTACCTTCATTACATCAGGATCT